TATAGCTTTACTGCCTTTGTCCCATTGTAGCTCTTCAATGATGTTGCCAGGAATCTTTATCAGAGTATCTAGCCCACATGCCTAGGTCATTTCTATGACTCCTTTGAAATACTAGCACCAAGATCCACTTTCTCCTCTGTCTTCTGGAGTTTTCTATCACTAAAAATGTCAGAGATGCTCGAGTGTAAGTGGATTCCAAGTTTTTACATTTAGCAGATCTTATTTAATCCTTAATAAAGAGTATGTGAATGTAAGTGTTCATAAAAGGTCCAAGCTTGTCAATCAGTCTGCATTCAGCAATGGAATTGAGGACAAGTTTTTGGAGGTCTTTTGGAGGTTTTTCTCTGTGCACGTCTCAATCTGATGTAAGAAAATACAGTCTTTTTCCCTTCAATAAGCTACAGCATAGCCTAGCTGAACATGCATATTTTTTACAGCCTATAGTAAATTGTTTTTCTTGCTACATTCTTGTCTTTCTGCCCTTTGCAATGTGAGTAATACTGGCATAGTTCACCCAACATTCAAATTTAGTAGTCTGCATTTAGAGATGATGTTTGAGAGAAGGAAAATGTAAATAACAGAGCTGACTATGTGGGCTTAAACCTACTTAAGTCACAGAACACTTCAGTTGGTTTAAGAGAGTTTATAAAACAGATAGGAAAGGCAAAACCCACTCGAAATGCAGGTTTTAATTTCTCACTGAATTATATTTTTTTTATCAGCAAAAAGGTTTTTGTCCCAAATCGACATTTCATAAGTATGCCTTTACTCAGTTTTCAAACATTTAAAATCAGAGGGCATAGCCATCAATGATACAAGTGAGCCTTTTTTTTTTCCTGTTTTTTTTCAGAGTTTTTGCAGAAAACTGATAAAAGATCTGTGTGGGAAAAAAAATGAGTCATTTTTGACTGAGTGGAGTCCAGTTTAAGCTTTGGCTTGATCTGTATTTGAAGTCACTGTGAATATAGTTTAGAACTTCTTCCACTTCTGTGCAAATCTTTCTCGGTGGCCTACCAGTGTAATTTGACCATATTGAGGAGCTCCCTATTTCGAATGGAAAAAATGACAGATCACACTACGTAGTGATACTACTTTAGCTCCCTGATCTGTGATTTTACAGTAGGCCACGTGGTTCAGGTTTCTGTCTGAAATGACTGGGAAACTGACAGGCTAATACAGGCTCAACTGGGATTCTTCTGTTGCAGATGGTTTCCCGTCTGTTGGTAACTGCACCAGGACAAACTTATTTTGCGCTAGACTATAATTAACATGTTAGGTGTTAACTTGGGAGTTTCGTTTTTCATTTCCTTTGCTGTACTCACTCCATAGATAGAATCAGTTGTAAGGTGAAGTTTCATCAATGAGAAACTCAGGAGGCAGATGCTAGATTCTAATTTGTGACAGGAGAGACAAGCACTTGATGTTTTACATAGATGGGTTTGGTTTTTAAGGCAGAAGTATTTTCGGAGTGTAAATAGTCAGATACAGAGATTAGAAGCTTGATCATTCTAAGAAGAAGTGGTTTCTGCCATGTTCAGCTCTTGTAATAATTGATACGCATCCATCCCCAGTTTTCAGAGATATTTTGCAATGTGAATTGGGACACTGGTTAAATTTCTTCTCATTCTAGTTTGTAACCATACATAATTTCTGTCCTTCTACGTCCAATTCTTTTTAATGTATTTTTAATAGGCTTTTCCATTTTTCTTGGTGTATTCCTTATTATCTCAGTGATACAACAGTAAGACACGAAAGCTGTGTATGAGGGGAAGGAGAAGGCGGCAGTTAACCTCACCGCTTTTAGAACAAACTATCTTCCGCAAAGGTATTTTAGGACACAAACCCTTACACTGATAAATAAATACAAAGAAGCATTCTGTACCATCCAACACCTACTTTATTTTACCTTTTATTGAAAAGAACCACCAAGTGGTGTTTTACTCTGAATAACTACCTTAGATGTTTAAGAGAAAGTCTTCAGAAAAAAAAAAAAAATCCTTTTTTAAAAATAGACATTACTGTGACAGGCAGTCACCTACCCATTGCTAAAAACGCCTACAGTTTCCCAAAATAACAACAAAAGGTTTTCAGCATTGCAACTATTAAAGCACAGAGTCAAAACCGGAAAATGTCATGTGGTTTACTCATCGCATCAGGTAGTTGCTACCATGCAACACTCATGAAGGCAATAAAAAAAAAAAAAGACAAACAACAACCAGACTTTGGGTTTTACCAATTTTATTTCTAGACTTTAGTTTTTTTGCTGGAAACTTGTCTGTTACAGGTCTGTTGGTGAAAATGTGCATTTCAGACCAGTGATGCCAATAAGTACAACATAAAAATGTACAAATCTGAATTGCTTGCTTACTACAGATTGTTATAATAATGTGACAAATAAAGCATCTCTGTTGGCACATGAACCCACTTAATCTGGATTTGGCCTTTTAGTACATACAATATCTTAAAAGAAATTTGCAATACACACTGCCACTCAGTGTAACACATAATATAACCAACAAGCACTAACTCAATAATCATGTTTGGTTCAGAGACACAGAGATGCCACAAACAGAAGTGTTTTATGAGGTAAGCAGTAAGAAACGTTCCTGAAATTTGGACAGAATGTATCCAGTCCTCCTGGGTCCTGCGACTGCTAGTAGCATTGCAATGCTTTATTTATGCACTATGTAGGATCTTAACTGCATTTGCCTCAAAATGAGTTCTAATTCTGTTTTGGTTTAGCAGCATACAGGCAACAGCTAGATTATTATTCAGCATACAACTCTGTTAGCTGGCTTACTTATGAGATTTACAGGCTTTTTAAATTAGCATTATGCTATAATTAAAAACAAAACAAAACAAAACAAAACAAAAATAAAACCCTAGTATATCATAACAGATTAAACACACAAAATACTTAGAGTTCCAGAAGATAACCTATCATACCAAGTGATGTGTCCCAAGTGGTGGGAAACTACATCAGGTGGCATACAAGAGTTATATTATAATGCACCTTTCATATATCAATGTGGCTAATAACACAGCTTAAAACTACTATGATAATAAACCCCAGATCAGACAAAGAATCCAGCTTTATAAAATGCATAACAACAAAAAAACTGACATTACTTGATCTTCTGAAATGTCTGCTGTTTTTAAGTTAATGCAACCTAGTTGCAAATCGCGAGACCCATTCAGAATAACGTTCGATGCATTTCCATTTGCAGTAGAACTATGAGGCACTGTGTACGAACATTAAAACCTGGTCTAGACACGGTTAACTGAAGTATGAGGTATTGTGAAACAGGAACCTTTTTTGGAATAGAGCAGTAATCACATTAAGTAAAAATTGATCACATAAAAAAATCTACAAAAAAAATGATGTCAATAATATAATTTTCTATGAGAAAATTAAAACCTATAACATGGCAGTATATGACATTGTATAACAAAAAAAAAAAAAAACTGATCCACAAAATAGCAGCAAAACACAATGACAAAGATACAGAAAAGCAATGTTAATTTTTTTTTCAAACCATGCTGGGAATTTATCCATAGCAGCTCAATAAAAATGGAGCATCCACTCCTTTTCTTTTCTCTTTTTCTTTTTTTTTTTAATTTTAAAATTTTTTTCTTTTTTCCTTTTTTTGTTGTTTTTTTGTTGTTTTCTTTTTTTACAATCAACACCTTAGCGGCAGTTTTCTCACATACATTTCACCATCACATTCTCCTCGAGCATCAACTTCAACAGCTATGTCCACGTCCCTTCAGCTACTTTCTAAAATAATAATAAAAAGATACATAGCCAAGATGTGCAAATTTTCTATTTGTAGCTAAATAAAAAAATGGGGCATATACTGGAATAAGAACTTCTTTCAAGTACTCCAATTTTCATATCTATTAACTATGGCGTTTTCATGGTTAGACTGCCTTTGAAAAATGTATAGGAAGGGGCCAAATAGACTGCTTTGTTTGGGGTTTGTTCTTTGAAGCGTGTCCTTTTTTCTTTAATAAGCTGTGTTAAAACTGCAACATCAAGGGTAGAAAGATTTTTTTTTAAAAAGGGGCGATTGCATTATTTTACAAATCATACTGGCCTTACGAACATCCTCTGCAATAAATATTCTTTTTAGCCTTAACTATAAATTATATATTTTAGTGTTTAAAAACCTTCAGTTGTAAAACATCTAGCGACAATCCTTAAACTACGTGTCCTATATGTGAACCTTTAAGGCCCCTAATTTATAAAGATGAGTTGGCACCAAAGGATTTCTAAACTTCAGCTTTTCTATAGAAAAGGATAGGAAGATATCCTGGCAATTTGTGAATGCAATTTCTCTCACTGGAACACAACCTTCGGAAAAAAAATCACCTCTCCTCTAACACCATAGTTAAATGCACTTGCTTTGCAATTCCAAGTTTGCGAACAAGCACTTATATATTTCCAAACCATTCCATTAAAAAAAAATTCCCACACAATAAAAGAATGTATTTCCTATATCTAATGGACTGAAAGTGCTTTGAATGGAATGGTTTTAGAATATTACAAACAAACAAAAAAAAAAAAAGAGACTAAACTGTGGATTGAACCTGACCATAATTAGGCTGAGTATCTGTGGGGTCAGACCAGCATTTTACACAGGTAACTACAAAAATATGAAGATTACAAAAATATAATATATTATGTCACTATTTCGGTTTCTCTTTATAATAGAGTATCGTATGAGTAGTACATTGGCCTTTCCCAACAATGCTAAGCTGGAACCCTACAAATGCCTTATGCACAGGCAATCCACAGGCACAAAAAAAGATTAACATATAATAATGCTGCATACTAACATACACTAACTTATGGGTTATGTTAACCATTTATAAGGTGAAGAGGATAAAAAAACCTAAGGAAATAAAATAAACATTTACAGATGAATTATAAAGTGACTAAATGCATAAGCAAGCAAGATACAGAAAAGCCTAGAACTGCGTTAAAGCTATGCTTTTTAAAGAAAAAAACAGAATATTTCATTTACTATCTAAAAAAAAAAAAAACAAAAAAACAAAACCCTCTTCTACTTTAAAAATGGTTGGTTGGTTTGTTTTGTATGTAAGAAATCAAATCTAATACCTCCCCTGGAGACATTTTGTGTGTTAATGCCTATTTTTACAACATACAGACAAGAACACTTTAATATAAAAACTAGTTGATTATTATTGTATAAAATCCTCTATTTTTGTAGCACAAACCCCTGGGGGTAATGCAAATACTATTTTTTTCTTTTTTTAAGACAGTTTTTGGGGTATTTTTTGTTTATTTGTTTGTTTGAAGTCACAGATGGAAGGGAGACAGAGCAAGAAAAAAATATAAGAAGACTGGTTTTCCCTTCTGATATAAAAATGTCCTGGAGAAAAGGGTTTCTGGGGGGGAGATCCTGATGCTGATTCCTTCTCAGATGCCCTTTCTTTGTCTGCTTTTCTCGCCAAGCAAACCCATTAGAAGAAGTCCTCTTAAATGTTCACATCTCGCACGTCAGTAGGTGTGCAGGAAAGGTCTGCTTCATCCTCTACAGTCTTTGTTTCTGAAGATACGTTGTGCTGCTGTGCCTGACGTAGACTGGATTCAAGGAGGGATTCAATCTGTTCTTGGCAGGCTCGTAAACAATCCTAGAGAAGATTAAATGGAAGAAGACCCAGGGTGCTTTAGAAAAACAGTAACATCACAGACCAAGTACCATTTTCTTGAAAAAGCAAGAGAAATATAATCACGTTATTTGGGAGGGCAGCAGACTGAAAGGAGTGTGGGAAGAGCAAGAGAAACACTGAATAGTGAAAGCTACCCCATTTTCTGTAGGATGCTAGCCTGGATCCAGACTTCAGCAACTAAACTCTTAACCGTCTTCTTTTTAACGGCCTAGGTCAGCATGTCATACATGGTCCTCTGGACACCCCATGACTGCTGTTGTTTTGGGAGTCTCAGCCCATAGGTCAACAACGCTCCACTACAATGACACATGCAGTAACTAACCCGGGCAGGACCTTGCCACGGGAAGATGTTACAGCTTGCACTGCTGCTTTTCTGCCTGTGCTGTTAGCACTTCAGCAGTTCTGTAGAAGTCCATTCATACTATCTTCTACTCTGCTGTCCTTAATACCTTTTAAAAAATAGGAACAGTCTGGCTGGGCAGCAATGTGAATCAATCAAAATTAAACGATTGGAGTTGCAAAGACACAAAACTGGGCTGGAGTCAGAATTGGTCCAACCGAGTATTGCTGATGCTGTAATGATTCCTAATTTTACCACAGAAAACACTTCGGCAGTACAGTCTACTGGAAGTGATGGTCATAAACAGTGATTTTTCCCAGGCTGAGTTCCAATAATACAAAGTTCTTAGATAGAAGTGCCATGTATGTATTTAGATATACGTGCCCAAAGTTGCCTGCCAACTGCTGCTATGTCCAGCAGTGGGCAGCTCAAGTTAGCTAACTGATTTCTAACTTGGAAAGCATCTGAAGAGAAAAATGTTCTGGACTCTTTATGACCCCAAAAGGGAGAGATATTTCAGAAGCACCACTAAGCATCTTCGTAACCATGCGTTATAAAGTGCTGCCAAACTTTCGGTTTGCTACCACGTTCACCTTGAAATCTCAGTCAGGGTGAGATCTCTTTCCC